CTAGAGTCCTGGCTAAGTCCTCATCATCGTTAATTTCTAGTGCAGCGTCCCAGGCTGCTGGTCTCTGTATGTCTCTGACCGGTTTGTCACCTAGGTGGGTAATGTTATGATGGAAAGCGTCTGAAGCTGGGTGTCTGGCATCGTTGGCCGCTTTCATCCAATAGCTATAAGTTAGTTGTTTCCTTCTGAGGTTAAGCGGTGTGATGCCTAGTGCTACCTCCATGGCCTCTCTCGATGTCCCTTTGCCAGCGCCCATGATGGAAGTCAGGGCTTGGCACTGAATCCTATCAAGTTTGCATTTGCTGGTCTCTGATGCTGATTCGTATACTATGCTTCCGTATTCCATTTTGCCCCTAACGAAAGCTTTATAAAATTGTACTAGGGTGTCCTGGTGTGCTCCCCATCCGTTTCCTTTAATCATTTTCAGCATATTGTTGTACTTTGTACACTTTACTACGAGATCATCGATGTGCTTAGCCCAGGTCATTTGCTCATCCAGAATCATTCCTAGAAATTTCGTCGAGCGTGTCCGCTGAACTGTTCTGCCATTAATTTGGAGTCTCGTTTCTTCTGGGTCATAATTAAGCTGTCTTTTAAAGTTGAATATCATGCTTACTGTTTTTTCAAATAACAAAAAATTTCATCCTAAAAAGGACGAAACTGGATATCAACTGGACAGACAGGCACGTGGCGGTAAATATCCAGAGACCAAATACATGGGTCCCACACAGCGCAGCACTGACGTCCAATCAAGCAAACAGGTGATTGTAGAGCCCCGCCCATAACGCTGACTGGTTGTTTCCCTTTTGTCTCCGCCCTCTCTTTTCCAACTTGCGTCTCTAAATAGCTACACTTTGAAACTTCCAAAAACAAAAACCGATCGATCGGTCAAGTTTGTATTTCTGTTTGGATAAAACACTTTATTGACTTTAGAGACTGGGTAGTTTTTCTATAATTAAAAGAAATTATTATTTCTTTTTTTTAATTTCACAATTGTCTGACAAGGAACAGGGTAAGTGTCATCTCATGTTACATTAAAGTATATAAAAAAGACCAAAAATTGCGTATCATTTCCAGGACGTTGCAGAACCAACCCTAGTATTTTGTTACTGTTTTAGTTTTTCTAGGCAAATTTTACGTTCACTAGTTTGCCATTGGATTCTAACGGTTAGCGCACAGTACCACAGTCGAAACTAACGCAAGATAAATCGTCCACAGCTGGGATTGAACCCGGCACCCCATCATAATGAAGCGCGTTCGCAACGCCTAAGCCACATAGGCAGACCTTAGTATATTACCTGGAAAAAATATTTTGATAACGAAAGGACTACACTCTAAACATAAAAGCTACAAATAAAGGACCCTTTCCATTTCTTTAGGCTGTTTGAACAGACAGCGCGTGACCTATATTTTATAGACCAATCGGTAGTGGGTGGATGATGGGGTCAAAATCACACTGACCGCCTTTACTTCCCATGACTTTACATTGTAGCCATTTAAGAGTAAGTGGACCTGAGAGCCATTTTCATGTTTAAAAAATAGTCGGCTCCTTATGGTCTTGAACCTGCGACCTTCGGATCCGTAAACCACGGCGGCTGCCTGTCTGAACATATATTTAAAACAAGGTAATATAAATAATGCACACACAATTTACAAAGAGATTGTGTCTTATAACAGTAAGCCAATATGCAGAAATAATTGTACTGTGGTGAAGTGCATTACAAACGACAAATTGATTATACTCTTTCCCACACAGGACAAGCAAACATATTTTAGCCGCACCCCGCTTGGTCGCCATGTTACATTGTAACTGTTGGTGGCCCTAACCTAAAACTCTTTGTCAGTTCCGGGGCCTCATTTGTTAGGGGGACAAGGAATAGACCCGCTGCCCAAGGCATCTCGTAAGAAGTACGTTGGACCTAGGTCGACTCAACCTTAAATGGGTACCAGGTAGTCATGGTAAGTAAAGGCGATCAGCACGATAACCCCATCATCCACCCACTACCGATTGGTAAATAAAATATAGGTCAAGTATATGCTCAATAAAACGCCTATGGAAAGAGTCCTTTACTTGTTTATGCTGAATTTGGATGTGTTATGCCGAAAGGCGTAAATATCGCAGTTTAGCTGTATAAACTGCAACATAACTTGGTAACCGCCCTTATAAGAGAAGACGCAGAAGTATATTATGGTTTAACAGGGTTTTTACGACACAGGCCGTCTGGAGGTGACAGGTTCGATTCCCAGCACAGTTAATCTAGCTTTCGATTTTTATGTTGTCGAGTGTATCCTTTTACCTCGTATCGTATTGTAAAAATCAAACAAAAATTCCAAGCTTAGTCTTTCTTCAAATGCCTGAAAGCCTGCTTTATCAAGGACAGTTTCTTTGCTATCTTATTTAAGTTCTGTTCCTTTGTGGTGAGCAATTACACCTGAGATTGTTTTTTTGTTTTGTTGTTGTTGCCTAAGTTACCTTTTACCTTTCTTCTTCCTATAAGTGCCGATCGAGTACATTCTCTATGTAAATTATATTTATATACATTTTCTACGGGATCAGGGGTTTCCCCCTCTATTTATTATGTGCGATTTGGCCTGTGAGATTCTCACCCGAGTTACAACGCATTTTCACTTTGCGTCACAGTGCTGTCCCCTTTGTGCTTGACCAGAAACGAAAACATTCAGAGATTTACGGCGAGCAAACAGAAACAAGGCAAGAGAAAGACCCTCAGAAACGTGGAATTAGACAAGAAAATGACACAAAGGAGGAATCAAATAATAAAACAGAGTAGCAAGAACAGCAGGGGTCCACCGATCATCAGTAGAAAGATTCTTCGTCGACGATTGTTTTGGTCCATTACTTCCTCTACAATCTCGGAAGGTGGGCCGACCTGGGTCATGAATCGAGCCCACGATCTATCTACCCGTGCTGCCCTTTTATCAGACGTTCGGACAGGACAAGACGAAATGTTAACTTTGCAACAGGTATTGTCAGATTTGGTGTTATATATATTGTCGCGGCGGTAGCAAAGTAGCCGCCTACCTGAACGACCAGAGTGACAAGTTTACTCTTGCCTCATCGGACAGACGTTAGACGTTTCGCAAGTGGCAGAGAGACACTGGCAGAGGTTTCTGAGAACATATAATGTTTGTTGTTTTAGTATCCAGAAGCCATGAGTCGCTAATGCTAACCCTTAGGCTCGGTATTATGGATATCGCAACCTTTCTGCCTTGATTCCCTTGTAAATACCGTAAATCTGTGAAAAATGTGGCTTTATTGCCTACCCCCTGGGAGTGAATCCGGACCACAAGGAGTTCGTCACCCGGTCACCGCGCAATCCGGTTTAGCCAACTACGCTAGAGAGACAGGCCCTGAGAAAATATAATAAATAACACCAGTTGGAAGAGATTCAGCACTTGGTAAAGACACGTTTAGTCTGTGAGATGGTGTAGACCTGCTACTCTCCCCACCACCAAAATATAGTAAAAGGCGCTTTTTTTTCATGGTCGGAGTGCATCTGCCTGAGAGGTGAGATACCAACAGTCTAAAAATGAGCCATGTCTGTAAAATAAAAGTGCGCGCAATACTATATTATGGAACAATACCGAAGTCCAGAAGTGGACGAACAACCAGAACTTTTCCCTAGAGTTTACAGCAGGTGAACACTAAGAAACTGATCAGTATGCTGGAATTTAGTCCGTTAGGGGAAAGAACCGGTAGCAAGGCTGCTAAAAAATTTAGAGAAATCATCTATGCCCTAACGTGCACACCCGTTTTACACACTGGCTTATTTCCAAGCAGACTTTGTTCCTTGTTTTCAGGATATGCTTAAAGACTTCGAAGAAAAACCTCCCTAGTAGTTGCATTTTACGATATGGCTGTTGGGGGGCAGTGCTCAGTTCGCCCCACCCCTTCTCGTGAAACCAAACTGCAAAACCGAAAAAATGAATTAATAATGTACAGAATTCATTTACATTTTTTAAAGTACATATAAGGCGTAAGGCGCCTAACCAAAAGTATATTTAAGTATACAAATGTATCCCATTATTCAGTGGTTACAAATTCTATACAATAAAACATCTTGGAGGAACGCGAGGGGAAGACCAAGAAAGATATGGATAAATGATGTTGATAAAACCTGCAAAAAAGATAAATTAATCCATCAGTCAAGCCACCCGAGAGACATACAGAAAACCACGACACTGGGTTAGAACCTTGTAACAATGAGACGACCAAAAAAAAAAAGAAGACATATTATTTAATTACATGTGAATATATTCTGAATATTACTGTCAATGTTGACGCACGCTCTTAAGTTATGAAATTCGGTATTTAAACATGTAGATTATTTTATAGAGAGAATTGGTTAATCTAGTTCCGGAGCCACATTAAAGGGGTGGGGAAAGGATAGACCGTTTTGTCTCCAAACGTCTTTAGATTCGAGCAGGTGTTTCCTTTGATGTCGGAGTGCATCTGCATGAGAGGGAGAGAACCAAGTCTAGGTAAAAATTAGGCAGATCTTTAAAACAAATGTGCACGCAAAAACTTTTGGAACAAGATTAAGTCCAGAGGTGGACGAACCACCAGAATTTTGCAGCAGAATTCACAGCCGATAAACACGAAAAAAGAAAAAAAAAGTATATGGCAGATTATAATCTTAGTGCAGTGCTTGTGTGCATGCGAAATAATAGCTTATGTTATAAAAAACAAAATTAAAAATATTTTCCCGAAAATCTACACCCCCCCCCCCCACACACACACACACACACACACACACAAATATAGACTACTATATCTTCCAAAACTTTTACCCATGCTTGACTTCAGGCTAGTTACTTCATGACTTTTGGTTGTCCTTATAAATATAGCCTTTAAACAGTTGGTTGATTTTTTCATTGATGCTCATTCCTGTTTCTGAATCGTCTTGCAGAGCTAGCCACGTTTTGTCGAACACAGAATGTTCAGTCATCTCGTAAACGCATTGATATCTAGAAAGCTTGGCATGCAGGAGGTAGGAATCGATGAAGATACCGCTGCAGAAGAATTCAACTATAACGGCGTTACAAAAGATCTGGACAGGATGGACATACTGGCCATCGAGTCCCGCAGGAGAAACTGGTTGCGCAGTCAAGGGTTGGAAGTGAGCGATGAAGCTTTTCAGGAAACCTTGGAAGCTGTGAGTATGTCATTATGTATACACACAGTTGTCACAGCCGATCTCCTTGTCTTTATGTATACACACAGTTGTCACAGCCGATCTCCTTGTCTTGATGTATACACACAGTTGTCACAGCCGGTCTCCTTGTCTTTATGTATACACACAGTTGTCACAGCCGGTCTCCTTGTCATTATGTATACACACAGTTGTCACAGCCGATCTCCTTGTCATTATGTATACACACAGTTGTCACAGCCGATCTCCTTGTCTTTATGTATACACACAGTTGTCACAGCCGGTCTCCTTGTCTTTATGTATACACACAGTTGTCACAGCCGGTCTCCTTGTCTTTATGTATACACACAGTTGTCACAGCCGATCTCCTTGTCTTTATGTATACACACAGTTGTCACAGCCGATCTCCTTGTCATTATGTATACACACAGTTGTCACAGCCGATCTCCTTGTCTTTATGTATACACACAGTTGTCACAGCCGGTCTCCTTGTCATTATGTATACACACAGTTGTCACAGCCGGTCTTCTTGTCATTATGTGTACACACCGTTGTCACATATGTATACACACAGTTGTCACATATGTATACACACAGTTGTCACAGCCGGTCTCTTCTCCTCTTCTCTTCTTAGCGTCTACCGACTGTGAGATCCGGCTGAAAGTTCTGGTTGGTCGTCCACTTTTGGATTTTGAATTTGTTCCATCTGTTAAACAGATGTGATATAATTGTATGCAGACTGTTGATTCCTCGCCTCTCAGGCAGATACACCTGGCTTTGGAGAAAACACTTCTAATTAGTCTCATCTTTTGACAAAGGCAGCGGGTCTCTCCCCCCCCCCCCGACCCATACCCCTATGGGTTCCTCGGACCCACACAGGGGGTCGTAATCCCTTAAAACAATACTGTATGGGTTTCCGGATACCGTTTTTCTGGGGCAGGGCGGGTTGTGAGAATATATCCATAGTTGTGTAACAAGCATGTAGTAACAATCGACTAATGTAAAGACTTCCTGAAGTCAGTTGCTTAAAGCAGAAAGGCGCAGACATCTCAGACCAGAGTAAACCACAACAACACATTGCGCCAACCGCTTGTTTTTTGGGTGGGGGGGGGGGGGGGGGGAAGGGGTTGTGAGTCTCGTGTTTTCTTGCTATCGTGTATGTATGTATTTGTATGCTTTGTTTATATATTGTTTGTCTGTGGATGTAGTATTCAGGACACTCACATTTGATTTGACTACTTGTGACTGACTGACTGACTTTCTACCCCACCAGGACATCACACAAGCGACAAACACCCGATGACACAAAGTACCACCATGCGGATGAGGATCACTGTGGAGAGGTCCCAGAAACCGCGTTTAGACAATTGGCCATATTGATGGCCTGCCTATATTGCAGCCCCTGGAAAAAGCCAGAGTGGGGCTTCAAATAAGAAAAAAATTACGTCCTGAAAAGGACTTAAGTAAGGAATATAACTACTTGTGGATTAGCAAATAACGTATATATTAAGTTGTAGGTGGCGGATATCGCAGTCTATAACAGTAACATAACATGTCAGCCGCCCTTTAAAGAGCAAACGCTAAAGAAAAAGTGTCTGCGACTCCCTTAGCTACATCAAAGGCGCCAATCAAAAGAAACGACCCGCCACGTGATTCACGTGTATGACTGATCCCACTTTTTTTTTAATTGTCAGGCTTTCTATCGCTGCAATTGGTCAGGTGTTACTAAATCTGCGTGGCCATAAAGTATTTAGTGTATTTTGCGTGTCTGCATCAATTTAAATCCACTACAGGGACAACATTGTTGCTAATAGTTTTTAGTTTCGCTTAACTTCCCCAAACTTCTTAATTAAAAGTTGAACATCATCATTACAGTGTAGCATGTACTTTACAAAACGTCGCTCCCATCACAGCCAGCGTGAAAGCACCTCGGTCTCTCGCCGGCTAAGGAAGTTATAACTGAAACAAGATCAAGTCCAGAGGCGGACGAACAACCAGAATTTTATTTTGCGACGAAATTTACAACCGATGAACACGGTAGACGAAAAAAGTATATGGCAGATTATTATCTTAGTGCAGTGTTTGTGTGCATGCTAAAAAATAGCTTATGTTAAAAAACAATATAAACAATATTTTTTTCCAAACGGGGACAGCCCGCGAGAGACCGAGATGCTCTTACGCTATCCAGTTTCATAAACTTTCCTGCCCTGAGTGTTTCATTCTGTGCCCGTCTTCAGGCTGGTCGGTCGCAGTATCATTTTTATGTGGGAGCCGCCACGGTGTAGCTGCTAGCTACTCACTGGCTTGTGAATCCAAAGATCGTAGGTTCAGGTCTGCATGTTTTTTTTTTTTTTTTTTTAATGACTAGTCTTCCAGCCTTTAATGAGTATACGATACATTTATGGAAGTAAAGGTAACCGGCGTGATGTTGGCCATATCGCCTGCCGATTGGTCTAAAAATGTAGGGCTTTATATAGTTCGTTCAACATCTCATGAACACTTGCAAGTCATTTTCTCCAAAACTGCTTGTTAGATTGCAAAGATTTTTTTTGCATGGAGCCTTAGAATATCTGTGACTTAAAACATAATGGTATTCTTTATCTTTAGTCCATAGATGCTCAGAATGCTGAACACCAGTCAATTATTTGATCTTTTCGAACCATTGTAAATAAATGAACTTTTAGAGAAGCGTGTCTTCATAATACATTGATATTAATAGGTGAAGTAAATGTATTTATGTTTGACTGAGTTGAGTTGAGCTGAATCAAAAAAAACACCACATCACTCTAGGCATTTCCATATGCGCTCAGTCCCCATATTCAGCAGCCAGCGCAGAGTTCCAATACTAATGGTACCGCACGCAGTCTAAATATGTCAGTTGTGCCATTCCTCTGAGTGTCGTGTACCTGCCCAGGCCCTCTGATCACACCCAGGTGTATCATTCTCTCCAGGCTACGATATTCTATTTTCTCTTCTACTTTACCCCAAAGTGCCTTGACCCATATCTCTGCCTTGTCATTTATCAATTTATCACCCAGTGGTGCAGATGCCGCCAGTCTGTCTGCTTTGTTCAATTGTAAACATATCCATAATAAGCACAAGTTAGTATTCTCATGGTTTCTGGATTTAAAAAAAAAACGTGCACAGCAAATTGTGTTATGGTATAAGCGTTTGGATATGGAGATGTATTTGTTGCAATTTTAGATGTACCTAACGGGTTAATAATATGCAACCCCTCATCACAAAAACTGTTTTAATCATTCCGAATCTGACCATCGCAAAAGGTTGATAATTGTTACTGGCTGAACAAATTGTAATCCATCTCGGTGCCTATACTCGTCTTCCTCTCGGAGCAAATGTTCAACACACTTTTTTCCAGAAATGAATGTCTATTTTTGAGAGGGACTCACGTGTCAGAACTTCAACATCACACATTTTAAATGTACTGTTCTTTTCGGCAACTTGTCTTTTGGCTTTAGCCCAAACAAGCTCTATCGGGTTGAGGTGTGGATGATATGCAGGGAATCGCAGAGAAGTGGAACCGTATTCATTCATGATTTTGCCAGTGTGATACACCTTTGTCTTTTTTGTTTTCCTCATAAGCTGCAAGAACTCTGCCTTCAAATATGTGCCATTGTAGTTGACTTTTTTTTTTAGCAAGCCATGTCTTAATTTGATCTTTTGTATTTGATATCGTTGGTACTTTGTCTTCATCTGATACGGCATTGTCCATTACTAGATCGATTTTTGTAAAGCTAACAATTTATTTTTTCTTATCCACCTTTTTTCTCTTCCCTTTACTGTCCATTACTATGCATTATGGTCTGTCCAGAATTGGAAGATCATTCACAGTCCGTTGCCTGAAAATTTATAGATTCATTTCCGTGTCGTAGTGCCTATCATCGGTACTTTGTGATTGGAAAAAAAGTCCAGCATCAAGGATAGACCTTGTTCGCTGCTTCCTGCAAAGGCGAGTATAATGCGCTGGCCTTTGCTGCTTGGAATGTTTTTTTCTTCTTTTCTGTTCAGTTTATTGACTGTCATTCTTTAGCATATGTATGGTGAGCATTAATACAGGATTCATCCAAATAAACAATATCATAGCCTCGCATCGTCACTCACGGGTCTGTCTCAGGTATTTGCTTCCACTATCAATCAACTGTGGCTTTTCACAAATAATTTTTCTTCTACCTACAGTTTTTATGAAAATTTACCTGGTGGCTCTTACTATTTTCCACAGACTACTTTTTGAAAAGTGAATACTGCATTGTGATTTCAGTGTTAATATTTTAGTTTTCGGAGAGAAACAAGTTGATTTTTCTCTAACATTTTAAAGATCTCACGTGATTAATTATGCTCTATCCAGACAAAGCGCCAGATGTGTTTGTTTTCTCTGTGTCATTAAATGACCCACCTTAGATTCCCTGAGGAAGTGAAGGTACAGTGATACGCCTGTGACTAAACAACCTTGACTGACGTCTTACACTACAAGTGCGCGAGAAAATCATGAAATTGCATAGGTTTTCTTTGCCCCCATTAAACCGGTCTTAGCGTGCATTACCTCCTGAAACTAATGAAAGTAAATCTTCCAAAAGTCTACCAAGACGGTTTCATTAAAAAAAAAAAATATATATCGTAAAGAAGGAAAAAAAAAATGATATTCTTCTTTAGGGAAAAAAATAATTTCCTAAACTTCATGGATATTCTAAGGCTGCATGCAAACAATCGTTGCGATCTAACAGGCAGTTTTCAAGAAGGCTTGCAAGTCTGTTCATGAGATGTTGAACGAACTATAACATTAAATGCTCAGTACGCCTAATGGCGGGAGAAAGGGACCTTTAGGACTAGCTGCATGGAACTGCATGGTGAAGCCTTAACGGGTGCCTTAACATTAACCTCCTACAAGGTTAAACGGGGTATCTGGCATCTTCCTTGTTGGTCTATCTTCCACATTAAGCATTGTTTTTATTTTTTTCTTCGTTCACCGGCTCTAAGCTCCGGCAAAAAGTCCGGTTAGTTCGGGCAGATGCACTCCGACTTCGAAGGAAGCTCCCAAAGACGACTCCCACGACATGCTTGTTGGGGAGGCCGTGCCTCTGTTATTGTTTTCACAACAATGAGGCCCCGGAACCCACAAGGTTTTTTTCTCTTCTAAATCGTACGTTTTTTTTTTAAAGGGACAGACAGTTTTTGTGTTTCGATGTTATTTTCATTTTCTTAAAATTCCGGAGCAAGTTTTAATCTTCCCTACTATTGTTGTAGACATGATTAAATTGCTTATTCCCTTAATGTCCCTTGTGGGGTTCGGGACCTCATTGTGTGTGTTGGGGGGGGGGTGGGGTTAGAATCGACTAATTAAGGAATTTCTTAGAATTCTGAGTGCATCTGCCGGCGAGACCAGGAACCAACAGTCTGCATACAAATAAACTAGATCTGTAAAACGGACGCACACGCTAAAATCAGGTCCTGGAACAAAGCTTAGGTTCATAAATGGACGAACAACCAGGACCTACCACCGGGGTTTACAGCCAGTGAACGCAAACAAACCACATTCCTTTTACATGTTTCAAAAAAACAACTTTTGTTTCCTGAATTGCAAAGTTTCAGAAATTGTTTTGCCACCAATTGTTAGATCATGGCAGGAATCTAGTTAGCCCGCCCTTTATGTTCTAGGGGCGGGGCTCACTGAGAGTTTGCGCCTTCTGGAAGTATGCAGCGTATTCATTATGTGCTAAATGGCAAATAAATATTAATAATGTGGTTAGTTCAAAGTTAGTCTCCCCTGACCCAGCCCATATACACACTAGCTCACTTCTGATTGGTAGTTAGTGAGCGCCGTGACCTCCGGACACGGTTACGGGGGTGTTCTGCAATGTTGTTGATATTGCGTGTTGTATATTTCAGCATGCCAGCGCTTTTAACACTCCCAACTATAGTTATTTACGTCCTTTTTAGGACGTAATTTTTTGTTATATGAAGCCCCACTCTGGCTTTTGCCAGGGGCCGCAATATAGGCAGGCCTTCAATATGGCCAATTGTCTGAACGCGGTTTCTGGGACCTCTCCACGGCGATCCTCATCCACATGGTGGCACTTTGTGTCATCGGGTGTTTGTCGCTTGTGTGAGGTCCTGGTGGGGTAGAAAGTCAGTCAGTCAGTTTAACACTCCCAAAATAAGTAGGAATTGGGTCTAACACAACTAACCAACTATAATTTCCTACCCCTTTAAAAGCGTCTCCTTTAGAGAACGCTGCAGAACCAACCCTAGCATATTTTGACTGTAGTGGTTTTTCTAGGCAAACTTTTACGTTCAGTAGTTCTGCCCTTGCTTACTAAACGGCCAGCTCTCGATACCACTGTCAAGACCAAATCGCGCACAGCTGGAATCGAACCCGGCACCTCGGCATTACGAAGCTCGTTCCAAACGCATAAGCCAGACGCCGACGCTTATTCATATATTCCTAGTTTTTTTTTTTTTTTTAATGGGACAGTTGTTGCCTACCGACGGTTAAGGTTTGAACAACGGGACAATTGTTGCCTACCGACGGTTGAGGTTTGAACAACGGATCAAACATCATGGCACACGGGTAGTAACCCATAAGTGTTCCGTTCTTCTTCTAACTTAAGTCTGAGTCCGTAGAAGCTCAGCCAATGCGATCTGTAGCACCAGCGAGGAACCTGAAAATACTTTATGTTGATTTTTAACTCCAAATTTTGCCCGGGCATCGCCGTTAGGCTAGCCACTCTTCTCGATTTATAACTGCCATTGGATTTATTAAGTGCGCAACATTGCACACCGGAGTCCGATCTTACTATCCAGAGACCAGGGGTAATTATTGGAAGTCCAAGTCCATGTGAAAACCAGCCCTTACTGGGGATTGAACCCAGAACCTTTAGCACTTGAGGTGAACACCATGCCTTGAGACCACGCAGCCCCCTTGCCTCCCGGCGGGACGGCCAAAAATGTCCCGGTGAAAACGGAACTTATGATGATCGTGATCCTATCAATGCCCTGAACTTTTTTCATAATGATCGAGTTTCCGATGTTTAGACACATCCAAGTTAAAAAGTTAGTTGCGTATACTTTACAGGACGTTGCAGAACCAAACCCAGAATTTTTGTGTGGCTGTTATGGTTTTTTCAGACAAATTTTACGTTCAGTAGTTTGCCATTGCTTCAGTACCACTGTCGAAACCATCGCAGGACAAACCGTCAGCAGCTGGGATCGAACCCGGCACCCGTGCATTACAAAGCACAATCGCAACGCCTAAGCCACATAGGCCGACACACATCGAAGGCTTTACTGTAATCTGGAAAACACAAATATGAGTATATACTTTGATTCTTTACATATTTAAAAATAAAAATGTGTTCACAGTACTGTAAAGATGCGATCCTTAAGTTTCTCTGCCGTGTCTGATAGTTTAAAACTTCCCTTCATTGGGAACTGGATATAGATTGTTCTCTTTTGACATTTCTAGGACATATGGTGATGGTTTTGATCTTTGTGTTGAAAAAAAATGAAAATACATGCACTTTTAGGGTGTAAAAAGTAAAGATCCCTTTTCACGTCTTTTAGGCGTATCGGGTATATGGGAAGAGCACCCACATTTTCTTATCTACACTAGATGGGTCATGTGGTCAGCATTACGCCGACCGTCTTTACTTCCACATAACAGACATCCTGGTACCCAATTTAGGCTGGGTCGACCTGCGACGCCCCATACCGTGAAAAAAAATCCACGCAGCCAGCAGTGTGTTTCGATCGCAGTACATTGGAATTACGAGTCGGACTCGCAACGCCTTAGCGCGGACGCCGCTACTATTAGGGTGTAAGCCGAACTTTTTATTTTCATCTATGACCTACGCTTTCAGGTCGACGCAGCCTTAAGTAGGTATCAGGGAAAATCCTGGGAAGTAATTGACCCAGTCTTGAGTAGGTAATCAGGTAAGGTCCTGGGAAGGAAAGACGGCCGGCGTGATGTTGACCACATCACAAACCGAGTGCTGATTGGTCTGTAAAATATAGGTCTAGTAGGAAATGCCCAATACGCCTGGAGGTACGGGGAAAGGTCCTTTACTGTTCCGGTGTAGTCGGATAAGAAACTTGCTAGTGGTTAAAACGCATTGGTGTGTGGGAGACCTGGGTTCGTATCCTCGCATAGTTATCTTTTTCCTTTTTGTTGAAAAAACAATTACAATCCTGTCCGGTACAAATTTCGTGACTGCACTTTACCTATGCGCCCCCCCCCCCCCCCCCAACTCCCCCTTTTTGGGATTTCCAATTATTTCCGACCTAGGGTGACCACACGTCCAGTTTTCAGCGGAACATGCCGGATTTGTTTAGTTGTGACTCAGCCGTCCTGTCGATACTCCAAAAAACTAAACTTGTCTAAAACTAATTTTGTGTTAGATAAACATCTAGGAACTGTCTCGAGTATATTCATACACTTAATAGTGGATGACCTTATTAGAATTTAGAGTTTTCAATATTTTAAATTAGTGCTTACAGTGTGTTATCAAGAATTTTCATTGTACCGTGGTTTATTCCCCCCCCTCCCCCCCCCCCCCCCCCCCCACCCCCCCCCCCCCCCACCCCCCAAAAAAAAGCCCCCTTCCCCCCCCCCCCCCCCCCCCCCCCCCCCCCCCCCACCAGTGTGGTTGATGAGCATATTGTTTCGTTAATTTCTTGCCGACAATGGTTTCAGTTTTAATAGTACCATTGCCAAGCGAGTAATTTAAAAAAAAATACCGGGGAACGGGTGCAGTTAAACTGACTTGCTTGGAATGTCCCGTTTTCAGCATATTCTAATAATGGAATGTCCCGTTTTCAGCTCAGGACATTGGGATCACCCCTAGTCCGACACCAAAGACAGTAAATACATAGTTTTGTGTGGTCTTTCTCTCCCATCCCTTATTTCCCCGCCACTAAACCAAAATATTATTTTCAAGGCAGAAGTATTAAAACATTGCTGTTTCTGACCCAGACCAGAGAGGAGATCATCAGGACGTGTCCAGTTCGGCCCAAGAAGCACCAGGTGTGTGTGTTCTGTAAAAACAACAAGGAGAGGGAAGAAGTCTACACCTCGCATATGCTCAAAGACAGTCTGGACCGGGTTATCTGCCCTATTCTTTCCAAGTATGTATTTGTGGAATTATGACCAATGTTTGTAATTATCACATCACATACACATGTAAATTGGGCTGTGGGGATATAACTGCTGGATGCTGGCCTGCCAGTGCGAAGATCTTTGGTTCGAAACCCCACCCAGTAGGCAAGGTACGTTCCTTGAGGGCTATATACCTCACATTGAGGGATCTTGACTGTCGCCTAACGAATTGATGCATCCTTACTGTTTATGTGTGCTTTGTGCGGGCCACATGTTGGACATGCCTGCAGTAGGTTTTTCTCTTCAGAAACAACCTCGGCTCCGTGGCCGAGCCAATCACAAATGTATAACAGGTAAAGACACCGGGGGAGGAGAAGGCGGCCAGTTAACATCCTCCATTGAGTGCCCAGTGGTCATAAAATGAATATGATATGGGTATTGTTCCATTAATTTCGTTCTTCATTTCTCACAGTGGTCTGGTTTTCTCATTGTTGGTGCATATCAGCTTTCATATATTCTTCTCTCTCTTTTTTTCTCCCTTCTCTCTCTCCCCTTTCCTCTCTGTCTCTGTCACTTCGTCTGTCTCTTCAGCCTCCCCCCCCCCCTATTTTTTGTGTATATGTAGGTTTAAAAGACATCCCAATGTCTTTTTTGTCGAAAGCTTTTTCTTGATCCACGAAGGCAGTGTTTATTTTATTGTATTGCTATTTCACGAGAGTATAGCAATGGTACACCCTTTTTCTTCTTTGACCTGTAGCAGGCGCAATCGGTTCCGCGAGAAGTTTCAGAATCCTAGCAAATAATAGTGCCAGTAGCGGTCTGGTTACATGTCCGTCTTGCCTTTCCTCTAAGTATCGAGTATCGGTCAGATCCCCTCGATACTCACTGTATCACTCTCACCAGTATGCGATGACACATTTGCTGTTTCAAATTGTACACGTGCCCCCGTAAGGCCTTACACCACGTCTGCCTTATGCAACAGTATCCCATTAAGTTAAGCATAGTCAGCCAGTCAGTCCGTGTATCCATTCCCCAACACACCGGCATATGGGACAAAAGATCGAGACAATGCTTCTCACATACGTTTTACATATCTGGCTTATTTGTGTGCACACTTTTGGTTCCTTGCCTCAGACGGATGCCTTCTGACTTTAAAGGAGACATCCCTAATTAGCCGCCTTGCACGGCATGCTTGTTAGAGGGCAGTGGGTGGGTTATTTCACCCTAAAATGGGATCCCGTAACCCACCCAGGAATGATTTGTCTTATAGCTGTACCTCTTGCTCAGTGATTTCTAGTTTTCTTAAATGCATACCGGGGTTTGGATGGTACTGACCGCTAATTTTCTTTTATGTCCAGTAGAGACATCTTTAGGAGTCGCCGCTAGACGCTCGCGTGCGGATCGGAAGGTCGTGGGCTCGCTGCCTGTCGAGCCGGACTTTTCTTCAGAAATGACCTTGACTCTTAGGTCTACCCAGCCCTGGGTAGGTACCGGGTGCAGTCCCGGGAAGTAAAGGGTGCCGGCGTAATGCTGACCACATCTTCCATCTTGTCCCGATTGTCTATAAAAAATATAGGTCTAGCCCTATGTGCCCTATACGCATAATAAATGTGTGGAAAAGGGACCTTTACTTTTTTAATTTACCAGATACATGTTTCTCTGATTGTATCCTTTTTCTGTGAGGTCTGCGAGAACTATCATTTACATAATCTAATGGTTGATGTGGATATGTCTCACTGTCAGTGTGTGTGTGCGTCTGGCTGTACGCAACGGTTGCAGCACGGCACGCACCCCTTTTTAGATGTCGTTTTGTTTGTAATAGACATTCCTTCATGTGGGTTCCCGCGACCCTTATTGAATGACAATTAAAAGGAATAAATCCACCGGCTCCTTTAAAGCATGTCGTATAAGTCGACTAATTATGGTTGTTTCCTTCGAAGTTTTCGTGCATCTGCCTGTGAGACGAGGAAACAATAGTCTGCATACAAATAAGCCAGATATTCTGTAAAACGGATGTGCACGGATAACTCAAGTTCTAGAAAAAGACTAATGTCCAGAAGTAGAACAGCCAAAACCTTCTGATGGAGTTTACTTAATCCGCTGAACGTAAAGAAGACAAATAAAGTGCGGGTGTCATTTTAAAATGTCTTATGTTTAGTAGTTTTGTTTTCTAGATGAAGAACATCTCTGCTCATTCTCATTGTTGATAATGGTCTTGCTCATTCTCATTTTTGATAAAGGTCTTGCCCATTCTCATTTTTGATAAAGGTCTTGCTCATTCTCATTGTTGATAAGGGTCTAATAAAATCTAGAAAACTGGATTTGGCAGAGATTTAGTCAATTTTTCCCCACGCATGATCCAGAATTTTTCCTCATATTTAATTTCTCTTGTAGATTGACGTCTTACTGTATATGCAGCACAGTCATCTTCTGAGCTGGATTACATGTGTAAAAAGCTGGGTCACTTTTAAAATGGCTTGTTTACTCTGGAACAAACACAGCTTTCTACAATTGGCAACACCGAAACGCCGCTCGGGATTCCAGTATACATTCTGCCAGTTTATTTCTTCTGTTCCATCACAATTACTCGATCACAATCATCGCTGTTAACTTCCTCATATATGACTCAATAATCATTTACTCAGTGTTGACCCCACTTAATTAAAACTACAATAACAACACCGCGACTCTCCTTTTCAAACCCTTGCAGCGGCAGGTATCTGTCACGGTCGTTTGTCGCACGGATTTTCTGCTTGACTTGCTGTGAGCGTGCTAGCTATTTCCTATTTCATGTACTGCTCATTTGTTATTCTTACCGTGGTCGTCTTCTTCTTTGTGTTGGGTTTCGTATGGTCAGGTCAGACCATCAGGTGGGTTGCTTCTATGAACTTATCAGCTGCAGGTCCTTCATAGTTCCCCGTAGCTTGTTCTGCACATTTTGCTCTTGAGGCCCAGTTTCTTGTCAAACTTGTTAAATCAAAAGATAGTTAATTGTTCAGCTAAAAATAAACCTTTTCTCTCCCCCCACTTCAGGTACACTTGCCCTGTATGTTATGCAACTGGAGCAAATGCACACACTAAAAAGTACTGCCCAAAATATGACGGAATTTCAACTGTCAACTTGCTCCTGCAGACACCACGTAACTGTTCTGGCAAGTATAGAAAATAGCCACTTCATGTATTTGCTGGAAATTTTGTTCCTACGGGTCAAGTCTTCCCTCCAAGGGAACAGAACTTTCTCATAGCAGACTTAATTTATTTCACTAAATAGTTTTTAATTGTAAATTGTTGAATAGTGTAATTTATGCCAAAAGGTCAATTTTGACAGTAAATATTTAGTTTTTATCAATTAACTGTTCAATATTTTACCTAAAAATGTTTGATGCTGAATGAGTTAAGAAAATTGACTTGAGTTTTGTTGTAAACAAAGATCTCCGGGGATTGCCCACAGGAGCTACGGAATTAGTGCTTTGTGTGAAGTAGTAGGTGTCTAATCATTCTATGAAGATAGACCAAGCTGTAAGGGAACAACCCGGTGGATACTCTTTAAATGTGCTGCATATTGCTTAGCTGGAAGAGTTGCCATTTTAGCGGGGGTATCATTTCCATACTAATGTTATTTGATTAATCTTGTTGTTCAGCTCAGTCCAGTAGATTGTCTCAGTTTGATGCACACCTTCGAAATGCCACGCCTAATAGCTTCTCGCTTTCAGATCAGACGTTCAAACTGTATTTTGAGTTAGCTGGTTGTGCCGCCCCTTTTACGGTACCGCCTGATGCAGCTGCCTCTCTGTATTTTATAGCACTGCACAGCCCTAGTGCGCTTAAATATGAAGCTGTGTTTCTGACCCACCTTGTGCATCCGAGTCAGCCACTGGGTCTCATCCGAGTAGTGTCTCCTTGAGTCAGCCACTGGGTGTGTCTCATCCGAGTAGTGTCTCATCCGAGTGGTGTCTCCTTGAGACAGCCACTGGATGTGAGTCTCATCCGAGTAGTGTCTCCTTGAGGAAACCACTGGGTGTGTCTCATCCGAGTAGTCTCTCCTTGAGTCAGCCACTAGGTATGAGTCTCATCCGAGTAGTGTCTCCTTGAGTCAGCCACTGGGTATGAGTCTCATCCGAGTAGTGTCTCCTTGAGGCAGCCACTGGGTATGAGTCTTATCCAAGTAGTGTCTCCTTGAGGTAGCCACTGGGTGTGAGTCTCATCCGAGTAGTGTCTCCTTGAGGCAGCCACTGGATGCGAGTCTCATCCGAGTAGTGTCTCCTTCAGGCAGCCACTGGGTGTGAGTCTCATCCGAGTAGTGTCTCCTTCAGGCAGCCACTGGGTGTGAGTCTCATCCGAGTAGTGTCTCCTTGAGGCAGCCACTGGGTGTGAGTCTCATCCGAGTAGTGTCTCCTTGAGGCAGCCACTGGGTGTGAGTCTCATCGGAATAATGACCTCCTGCATGTAAATCTTTCAGAATGCAATTCTTAAAGGATTTATTTTAAAATATTTAAATGCAGTTACTGGGGGACAAAAGAGAAGCTGTGGTCTAACGGTCTAACAATTTGTGTTTTGCTGTGCCAACTAGTGGAAAGGAAAGGGGGGGGGGGGCGGCGGCTAAATTCCTCAAGTGGGTTATGTTTATTTCATTGAAATTTTGTATTGTATATTTCTTCTCTGGTTCACATATTGTGCATCCAACCAATTTATATATTACATTTTTTTTTCAAAAATGTTATAAGTTCATCTGGTTGTTGCTTTCACAATGTACTGTTGTATAAATCTAATTTAAACTTATTGACGATATGTTAAAAAATGTATGTACAGTATTTGGTTTATGTAACAACACATGTAAAGTATTTTAAAAAAATTTATATATTCCTCCTCTCACTTCTGTCTCACTTCCCTGCTCTTCTCACCACCCCCCCCCCCCCCCTAATCTATTTTCTCTTTGATTCTTTTCCTGCTCTTCTGCATTTGCAGGTGTTTTTAAGTTGACAAGATAGAAAGAGACTTGTTGAAACTAACATAAATACTGCAATTAATAATGTCTCTCCCAACAACAAGTTTAAGAACAAATCATTACATGTTTAGATTTCTTAACAAATGTCAAAAGTATTTGATCTTTTTTTATAAAGGTAATTCATACATGTAACTGATAAATCAGTAACTATAATTATTTTTGATTATTGAGTAAATCATAATTTATATTCGATAATTCAACATAATCTGTAAGGCTGTTGATTCAGAACAGACTTGCTCCATTTGTGTACTTTTTTTTATCAACAACCAAAAAATAAGAAAAAGTGAAGAAAAAACAACTGATTTAGATAATTACCAATGGCTACTAGGACATGTTTGATAAAATAGACAGCTGCCTTGATAGTGAGAATGTGGACCGTCACATTAAGAAACAGTTGACAGCTGAAAATATTGTGTTAGAACTGCATAACCCATTCATCTCAAAGCATGGAGAAAGAGTTTGTCGACTATGCCAGGAATAAATTGAATACTTTATTGTACAAAAAATCCGTTTTGTCGCTCTTGATTATTGTACATAAAAGGAAAATTAAATTTTTCAAATTTACATCCTCTGTTTTTTTTATTGCAATAACTGTTGTCTCTAACATAGCTGTGATGTTCTTGTCTGTTGTAGCTGTGCTTGTCTGTTGCAGTTGTAGCTGTGCTTGTCTGTTGCAGTTGTAGCTGTGCTTATCTGTTGCATCTGTAGCTGTACTTGTCTGTGGCTGTGCTTATCTGTTGCATCTGTAGCTGTACTTGTCTGTTGTAGCTGTGCTTGTCTGTTACAGTTGTAGCTGTGCTTGTCTGTTGCATCTGTAGCTGTGCTTGTCTGTTGCATCTGTAGCTGTGCTTGTCTGTTGCAGTTGTAGCTGTGCTTGTCTGTTGCAGTTGTAGCTGTGCTTGTCTGTTGCAGTTGTAGCTGTACTTGTCTGTTGTAGCTGTGCTTGTCTGTTACAGTTGTAGCTGTGCTTGTCTGTTGTCAGTTGTAGCTGTCTGTGCTGTCTGTCTGTTGCATCTGTAGCTGTGCTTGTCTGTTGCAGTTGTAGCTGTGCTTGTCTGTTGCAGTTGTAGCTGTGCTTGTCTGTTGCATCTGTAGCTGTGCTTGTCTGTTGTATCTGTAGCTGTACTTGTCTGTTGTATCTGTAGCTGTACTTGTCTGTTGTAGCTGTGCTTGTCTGTTACAGTTGTAGCTGTACTTGTCTGTTGCATCTGTAGCTGTACTTGTCTGTTGTAGCTGTACTTGTCTGTTGCATCTGTAGCTGTGCTTGTCTGTTGCAGTTGTAGCTGTGCTTGTCTGTTGCAGTTGTAGCTGTGCTTATCTGTTGCATCTGTAGCTGTACTTGTCTGTGGCTGTGCTTATCTGTTGCATCTGTAGCTGTACTTGTCTGTTGTAGCTGTGCTTGTCTGTTACAGTTGTAGCTGTGCTTGTCTGTTGCATCTGTAGCTGTGCTTGTCTGTTGTAGCTGTGCTTGTCTGTTGCATCTGTAGCTGTGCTTGTCTGTTGCATCTGTAGCTGTGCTTGTCTGTTGCAGTTGTAGCTGTGCTTGTCTGTTGCATCTGTAGCTGTGCTTGTCTGTTGCATCTGTAGCTGTGCTTGTCTGTTGCAGTTGTAGCTGTGCTTGTCTGTTGCAGTTGTAGCTGTGCTTGTCTGTTGTAGCTGTGCTTGTCTGTTGTAGCTGTGCTTGTCTGTTGCAGTTGTAGCTGTGCTTGTCTGTTGCATCTGTAGCTGTGCTTGTCTGTTGCAGTTGTAGCTGTGCTTGTCTGTTGCATCTGTAGCTGTGCTTGTCTGTTGCATCTGTAGCTGTGCTTGTCTGTTGCATCTGTAGCTGTGCTTTGTCTGTTGCAGTTGTAGCTGTGCTTGTCTGTTGCATCTGTAGCTGTACTTGTCTGTTGTATCTGTAGCTGTACTTGTCTGTTGTAGCTGTGCTTGTCTGTTACAGTTGTAGCTGTACTTGTCTGTTGTATCTGTAGCTGTACTTGTCTGTTGTATCTGTAGCTGTACTTGTCTGTTGTAGCTGTGCTTGTCTGTTACAGTTGTGGCTGTGCTTGTCTGTTGCAGCTGTGGCTGTGCTTGTCTGTTGCAGCTGTAGCTGTGCTTGTCTGTTGTAGCTGTGCTTATCTGTTGCAGTTGTAGCTGTGCTTGTCTGTTGCAGTTCAAGCTGTGCTTGCTGGTTGCAGATGTAGCTGTGTTTGTCTGTTGCAGTTCGTCTCTTGAATGTGATAAATATAGCCATTTATCTTATACTTAAAGAATGTAGACCAAAAACAAAACGAAAAGAGAGCATCAGAGAGACTATGACAGCACAATTTGGCGGCCCCAGGAGCAAGAAGTAAAACCTTATATCTCCCTCGACACCCGAAGCAGTAAAAGAGGAAGAGAAGAAGAAAGATAAAGTGAAACTTTCATTAGTACTCTGATTCGTTCGAAGTGCAAAAGGGGGTGAGGCAGGGGTGCATTCTCTCACCATACCTATTCAATATATACGCAGAAAATATAATGAGAAATGTCAAAAATGACCAGACTTGTGACAGTTATGATCCGCTCAAAATTGGTGGCAACCCTATTCCGGAACTCCGCTACACAGATGACACAGTCCTCCTTTCGAACAGCGTAAAGTGAATAGAAAATTTAATATTGTCCGTCCAAAAGCACAGTGAAGATCAAAATCTGTGCTTGAATTTAAAGAAAACGAAAATAATGTCCATAGATAAAACTGACTGTCACCCAAAAATAACAATAAATGATGAAGAAATTGAAAATGTCACAAACTTTGAGTCTCTAAGCTCTATAATAAACAACAAGGGAGAATGTTCGACAGAAATTAAAAGGATTGCCATAGCAATGCAAAGATTAAACAGCTTTAAAAGTCTATGGTTAAGCACCAGCATGGAGATAAAAATTAGAATTTTGAGAGCATGCATCTTCCCTGTGGCTACATACGGATGTGAGTCGTGGACTATCTCTCAGTCCTTAAGAAAGAGAATAGGGGCTTTTGGGCTGGAATGCTATAGAAAGATTCTCAGAATATCTTGGACAAAGAAGATGAGAAATATTGACATCTTAACAGATCTGAACATCAAGGAAGATTGGCTAATAAACAGCTTCCTTTCTCGAAAGCTGAAATATTTTGGTCATATCAAGCGCCACGACGGATTGGAAAAAAT